AGTAGATTTCAATCGAAGATAAAACTACAAATGCGTTGTTTAATAAACCTCCATGATTGCATCCAGTGGATCCTTGACGCTAGTTATGAAGACAACGATCTGCATATATTGTCTTTGTCAAGATGCTAGACTTTGCGTTGGGATGATTCACTCCATGACTAAATGCAAATCATATTTATTTTGATACACCGATTTGGGCTGGTTTTATGCTTCGCCAAGGCCTTTTTTATCCATACACCAAAATGGTAGGTTTATTTACTAATTAATAGATCCGCAGTTGCTACGATCCATAAAATCATCAGTGTAGTGACATTATTAGGAAATGCAGTATTTTGCAATTCGTTACTACTTTATTGGAATACTACTCAAATTAAATAAAGTTAAGTCGTCGCGAACTTATTTCAAGCCGCTTTGGGGTGATTAGATTCTCTTGTCATCATTTTATGCTCCCATTAAGAATTTTATCATAAAATAAAAGTCGTCTCACCACCACTTTAAACATTTCTTGCAAATGCTTCTCTGAAAGTGTCGATTCCTATTCACAATGCTGTCATGTGTCTCTCTGCCTAAGCAGGGCGTCTACATGCCCGGGAATCGAGCTCATCTCAACACTTCAAATCTCCATTTTGACGGTTTAAATGGGCAGAACTCGCCTCCACACGCGACAAAGAGGCTTTCTCATTGCCGCCTGCTTCTGTACACAAGTCAGCATAGGCTGTGTACTAACGCATTCGCAAGCGGACAAAGACACATGCACATACACGCACACAAAAACATACAACACCCTACGCATCTGACGAGCGAATACTAACTCACTCATTTACATAAAGAGATTAGTGTGTAGAGAAGGCGAGATAAGTGAGCAAGTAAAAATACGCTCACCTCAGTTGAGATTGGGAGTTAAGACAAATCGTGTCTGAGACTGAGGCGATAGGCAGTGACACGTCAACTCTTTCTGCCCCACTCCCCAACCCCTCTAACTTGTTCCCTCCACTCGACTGGCAAACCCTCGCTCTAATAGATTGTCGTGGCAACGGCTTCTTCACCTTCCATTCGGTCGTTTCGACTGGCCAACTCTACAACGGTCCGAGCTGGAGGCAGCCCCGAGTCGGCGCCCTGGCCGGTTCGTCTGCCTCTCTCTTAGCCTCACCAGTCCCCGGCATTTCGGTGCCAATCCGGCACTGTCAGCAGGAATCTTTTTGCTCAACCCCACAAGACTGCGCTTTCGGTCGTTTTTAGGGCAAGGCTAGCATTTCGACGAAGCAGACGACGACAAAGACAACGACGACGAGGACGATGAGGACGACGGCGACGACGCAAGATTTGCCGACAAGGCTAAAACAAAAGTGAAGAGATGCGACTTTTCGGTCGTGTGAATCGTGTCATTGAGACAGGCCCAGTAAAGAGAGATAGAGAAAGAGGCAGAACAAATCGTAGCTTGATGCTGACGAGGAGAGAGCGATGGTGAGACAGAGGGAGAGAGAAGCCTAGATGAAAAAGGTAAGATAAAAAGGGTCCATTCTAATGCCACATGTAAATAGAGATTAGCCTCTGGCACAAAATACTTCAAGTCAAATTCCTAAAGACCAGCTAATCTGGGGTGTGTAAATAAATCCTTCAGAATGAGCAGACTGGCCTCCTTTTCACGCAACACCCTCCATTCCCCTCTCCACACTCATCCACCCACTCAGCAGTCCAACCACATAATTTACGCTTTTCACACTGCCCAGTCGTGCCAAGCCATTTAGTACCTCTTGGCACTCGCGGTCTCAGACACACTCTACTCCAGCGCCCACACCACACTAGCCATCTTGGGACGTGATTCCGGCCAAAGGGGTGTCGCCGCGGCAACCGAAAACGCAAAGAACTCACACCGCACACATACTGTTGATGGGGGCTATCGTCTGATTAAAAAAACAGGATTTTTCTTCCCTTTCGCTTGTAAATTCAGACCCGTCTGATCCACTCTACCGGCAATCCCAGTTTTCATGTATGTATGTGTATGTAAGTATGCATGTATGTATATATGTATGTTCATGTATTTGTATCTGCATGTTTGTGTTGTTACGTGTGTGTGTGTGTGTGTGCGTGTGTGATTTCGCCCTTCCTTCGAGTTAAGGAGGTCGTTGAGTCAACCACAAAGATAAAAATGAGTAGGATTTGCACCCAGCAAGAAAATAGACTTCGAGTAAAATGTCAAGAATCCCGTGGTTTTGGTGTTCGAGTCCCGATACCCCTTTCAATCCGACCCTCTGATGCCGTATTTCGTGCCTCTGCAGATTGCTGGAGGCTTCAGCTGTTGTTGTTTAGTTTCCGATTCCCCTACATACTTACAAACAAGTGAACTGAGTTTGGTTGTGATTGAAATATTGGTTAATTATTAAAATCGTCTTCAATTAGATCCTGCACTGTCGCTGTTATATGCTGTGCTCATAAGTCCTCGGCCCTTCTTCCTGCTCCCTTTCACTAACCCCACTCAACAGTTATACGTACTTCCTACTTCTTGATGGTACAATTCCTGCTTCAACTCCACAAGGAATTAGGAATTTACTAAATGATCTAAACTAAAGTTGGTTCATACTTCACCCCCTGGGACATACGAAACGAGTAGGTTGCTATCCTTTTATAACATAGCAACTTTAGCAAATACATTTGCTCTACTGATTAGCAGAGGGAGTCTTCTGGAATGTGGGGAAAGCATGAAAAAAGCAATCAAATCATAAACTTGTGCCCTTTCGGAGGAATGCGTGAATCGGTCTCACCGGAATCCAAAGAACGATTTGGTGGCGTGGAGTGAATGTTGTCAACATGTGTGAAGAAGTCATCGGCTCACAGTTCTGCGACCCCGATGAACCGTCGTGAAAATCCAATTTTTATTATTTCACAAAATGTCCTATCACGTGAACACAAATATTGGTAGAATTTCAATCAGCTTGGTTAATTTTTCGCGAGGAATGACATCACTCCCTGAGGATTGCTGTCACGGCTGGAGAGACGAAATCTCATCTAGCATGGATCAATCTCACAAAGAGGACGTTTTCACACAAGTTCCCAGCCGAAAATCTTTCCAGTGAAACTGATTACTGAACCCCTACAGCCGAAAACGAAAATCAAGCAACAAACACATGAATTATTCATTAACAGCCTAGTCACTCTGAATCACTTTAGGTGAGATTTTATCATCTTGTCTTCGACTTCGCCGGTCTCTTCGGAATCATATTTTTAGTTTCATTATAAATGAGTTAAGAAGTGGGTTGACCTCGTTGTCGCAACTTGGTCTTGTGTTCAGGGAGACTATGTAGAACGCACC